AACCAACAGGACAAGAAGCTGATATGCTCTTCTTCAGAGATAGAAGAATCGGATTTCATGCAAGTATCTATGAAGGTACCATAGGCCGTTATGAAGCCGTGCTTCCCGCCTATTTTGGCCGATGGTATTCGATATCATATCAGGGACAGACATTGCCGCATAAGCAGTCTCTCCTGTACAAGGAAGGCCGGTCAGAGCCACGACTTCCAACATCGTCGGAACCATGAAACCCACACGAAAGTGGAATGAATGTTCAGCCGGACACCAAAACATAAGAGTTGCAGAGATCCGCGGTTTGTGACTCGGAGGAGCTCGGGCTCATCATAATAGCATCAAAAAGACCTAATTTTTCAAATCCTCTCCCTCAGACGCTTTGCCCAGGAAGCCCAATTGTCTAAGGGGGATGGGCCAAGCCCTAAAGATTTTACCAACACAACAGAAGAACCACTCACAGACCTTTCCTTGAAAGGTAGAGACGAAGAGGGGTTAGGAAAGAACTGGAAGAACTCTGATGGTGCAGGGCCGCCGAAGAAGTGCCTCAGCGCGCCGTAGCCACTACTTTGACTCCTTTTACGCAATTATGAACTACACTTAACTTTCTCAATTCCAACGCAACTTATCCTTTTGGAGCTGACGTAACAAACTACGCAAGCCTCCCAACGAAGCCAACAAAAATCCGATCCAAATAAAAAAAAGAAAAGGCAGTTTCATTATGGTGGTATACCAGCCGCCTGTTCTGGAACTGGAAGTTCCAATCAAAGCATATAGATCCGTAAATAGATTTGTATGTATAGCCACTTCAGTCGTGCTCGTCCTTTCCCGAAAGTATCTTTTTTCTGGGAACATGGTCAACCAGAAATTATTATGTTCGTGATTCTTCATCCACCGATGCAGAAAATGCTCCAGTTTTCCATTCTCATATGCGGCTGGAAAGTGGATTGGCACCAGGTTGGCACGAAATGATTCATCATGCTCAAACATGAGCCGATCGTTTGTTAGAGACGGTTTATAAATCATCAAATTCCCACAAATGGAATGAAAAGTGGGTCCATGTAAATGATCGAGACTTCGCAAACAACAACGCTCCTTCCCCATATGGAGTTCGGAACCCAAGGGCAATCGTTGAGTGAACTGTATCTTCTTTGTGTTAGTTGACCTAAGCCGCACCCTGACTTCTGGGGTGGGGCTCGGCCTCCGAACCGTACGTGAGACGAGTTTCGCCTCATACAGCTCAGGCCGAAGACCGGGGGAAGTTTAGGAGAGATGAGGAAAGCTAGCACTGCCGGTCGGGACGAGGATAAGCTTGCTTCTTCACATTATCCCCCCCAAAAAACGACCCTTCCGCGCTAGCGCTTCGCGTTCTTTCTATTCCATTACGGGCTGGACTTCTAATAGCTTCGTTCGTTCGGCTAATACTAATTTAATAAGTGAAGTCGTCTGACCAATCGGCTCAAACACCAGACCGCCCATTTTGTCTCGACCTAAATAGAATGGCTCTCTTAGTTACGCTGCGCCCGATCAGAGTCCCCACGTCCGCTTTTTCCGCCCGCAACCCAAGAAGTTGGCTTTGCCAACACAACATTAGGGCCGCCCCCTTCATTCTATGCTGACCCCGGCCCGGGCTGGCTTTTTGGGAAGCCCGTTCCCACCGCGCTCACGGCCCGGCTGGCCTGACAGCGTTAGTGGGAATTTCCCCGTTCCCTGGTCAAAGACTTGGTTGGATGCGGGATCTACTCCACGAGGAGCGGTACGGACGTAGATGATATCATCACGACCCCTTTTTTCGTACCGCTAGGGATGCTTAACGCCATTTCGCCAACTGGCGTTACCTGCGCTTTTGTGTCTCTCAGTGTGGTCAGCACTGGGTGTTTCCGAGCAGCGAAGCTTACGCCCATTCGCATTAATTCATCCAAAGTTCCTTACCCTTATGCACGAATTCTTGAATTGGAATAAGCCATCTTCCTATCAAGGTTAAGGAGTCAACTGAGCATCTCAGCGGCGGGATTGAATACCCGGATCGAATCAGAGTTCACGCCGCCCGCCCTGAACAAATAGGAGGCGTGGGCCACAGGTCGCACATAAGCCGCCGGGTCGCACGACAGAAGAACACCCAACATAAAGATGCACACTCCTCCATGTGAAATATTCATCTTGATTAGAGCTTTTTGGTAGTAGTCGTGACCAACAGCCATCAGCTGTCGGCTCGTTGGTAAGGTGAGAGCTTCAAGCCCGATTTCTGATGGCGCACCCCACACAAGCACCGCCTGACGAAGGGGGCGGAGAAAGCTACAGACCTAAAATTTCCTTCGACCCTTCTTTCTAAATGGGGTGCCGGGGACACCTCATCTTGTCATCTCGTCGTTGCTCATTCCCGTTAGGCCAAAGTCTTTGGCCTTTCCTTCTCCGCGCCCGCTCACGCTTCGCTGACTTATCGCGTGGTAAAAGAAGAAAGTACAAAAGAATAGTAAACAGAGCACACCGCAGAAAGATTCTAAATATGAGAAGTCAGCCTTGGATTCGAGAAGAAGGAAATGAAGAACGAGAACGAAACGAAATAAGGCATTTCTAGCTCTAGTTTCGGATGAGCTTCTCCCAATTATGTCTGAAAATAAAATAGGGCGGCTTGCTCTAACCAAGACAGAACATTTTGCTCTGTTCGTGGAGCGTATGAATTTCCTTGAATGTAGATAGACCAAAAGAGGGAATGAAGGGATAGGAATAGGAATTATAGTAACATTATAAAAAGGGGCACCTGTGGGAACATCTCTACTGACGAACCATTTCAATAGTACAGGTGCTGCCGTGCCACGAGGCACGACCATGGAAGTAATTAAAAAGAAAAAGTTATGTAGTTGGACCATCTGTTCTATCCGTTCTAGTTTTGCTTCTCTAGAGAAAATGAGAGGCTAAAAGAAAAGTGTTCGCAACACATACCGAAAGGAGACTAATTAAGCCGACCATTAACGACTAGTTCGAACACCAGGAGTGGTCTGATCAAATAAGGGATCAGACCGCTCTTAGAAAGATAAAACAAAAGCAATCATGAAACTGGCATACCTTTCATCCACCCTACAATCCGATCTTTCTTTTTATATGAAATTTATAGTTAAGATTACCTTTCTTACCTAAAAGTAGCCTTTCTCTTTATATACGATAGCACCGATGATAGATTCTGGGATCTCTTCTTGGCGAATTTCTACGCTTGTAAATGATGGGTGTCATACTCACTCGTAGATGCTTGGTGTCAGAAATTTTCACTGATCAGGTGTTATCAGTCTCATCCGTGTAAGAATTAGGAATTCCTATTCCAACTCGTCCCAGAATGGGCGTTATGGCAAAAAACAAGAAGAAAACAAAAGGAGAAATTTGTCCAATAGTAACAAATGGTGCCTCCACAGGTTGACACCCGATCCAACCTAGTAGTAAGCAATCCGCTAAAAGCAACCAAAATATTCCTTGGTGAATCGGGCGAAAACTTGAACTACGTACATACATACTTTTAAAAAAAGGTAAAGCCAAGAGACATATAAAAACTAGTGCTATTGCAGCTACACCTCCCGCTTTGTCAGGTATACTACGAAGAATGGCATAGATCGGTAGGAAATACCATTCCGGCACAATATGAGGCGGGGTGGACATTGGATTAGCAGGTATATAATTGTCGGGATGCCCCAAAACATTAGGAGCATAAAAAATCCAAATAGAAAAAAAGATAGCAAAAGCTACCCAACCTACTAGATCCTTTACATAAAAATAAGGATAAGAAGCAATTTTATCCATCTCTGAATGTACACCCAATGGATTATTTGATCCATATTGATGCAATGCGGCCAGATGAAGAATACTGGCGCCTACTAAAATAAAGGGGAGTAAATGATGAAGACTAAAAAAACGATTTAAGGTGGCATTGTCCACGGAGAAACCCCCCCAAAGCCAAGTAACTATGGTATCTCCTACTACAGGTATGGCGCTAGCTAAGCTTGTAATTACTGTAGCTCCCCAAAAGCTCATCTGACCCCAAGGTAGTACATATCCTATAAAAGCTGTCACAATCATTAATAAGAAGATTACAACTCCGAGACACCAAACAAATTCCCTAGGACTGCTATAACTCGCATAATATAGACCACGAAAAATATGAAGGTGAACCACAATGAGAAACATACTTGCCCCATTAGCATGCATATAACGGAGCAACCAGCCCCCTTCAACATCTCTCATAATGTGTTCTACGCTGTTGAAAGCTAGATCTACATGGGGTGTGTAATGCATAGCTAAAAAAATGCCAGTTACTATCTGAATGACTAAACAAAGCCCAGCTAACGAACCGAACCCCCACCAATAACTAAGATTGCTCGGGGTTGGATAATCTATCAAATGTTGATTAAGTGTGGAGGATATAGGTTGTTTAAGAAGAGATAATCGTTGGTTCCTTATAGTCATTTCTTTATTTCCCTATTATTATATTGTTACAAAACTCTTGTTCCCCCACCTTTTAGCCTTCTGGGGCCCTACTATATATATAAATAGAAAGTACCCTTTCTTCCACCCCCTAAGGGGGGTATACAGCGAAAGAAGCGTCGAAGAGGTCGGGTCATCCTGAGTTACTGAAGAGTCGTCTGACTACTCGATGAAAGGAGGCAAAGGTATGTGGGATAAAGAATTTAAAAAGGAGAAAACATTTCGTCCACCAAGCGGGACAGGGTGCGAGCCCTAAGCAATTGGGGGTCCATATCATCTGATAACTTTTCCTATTCCATTAGCATAGAATAGGATGATTCAGCGTCAGGAAAAGGAAGCCCACTTGCCTTGATTGAATTTGGCTTCGCTGCGCCTTGAATAAAAAAAGCTTATTGTTTTGATTCATCCCATTTCGTTTGGGTGAGAGGGAGGCTGTGAGTCCCCTGGGCTACGGATTTGTCGGTTGGTTGATTATCGAAATCACCTTTTTTTCAAAAGGCCTCGAGTCCAGACCCACAAATAAATAGGAAGCGAGGTGAGGGTCTTTCATTAAAGGGGGGAAAAGGAGGGGTGAGGCTTTGTTCTGAGGCAGCCGCCTTGCGCAGCTTTGGAAAGGAAGAGAATTTCAGAAAGTAACTCTCTCCAACCTTTTCTATCTATCTTTAGAAGTAGAGCGAGAGAAAGTCAATATGATATTTGCGTTGGTTTTCCAACCAAACTAAGGACTTCTTTTTCTCATTCGGAAAGGCTCAGTCCCACACTCTGACTTCAATGATGGGAACGCCCGGCGCTCCAATGAACAAAAATTCTCCGCCTTACTATATTTAGAACAGTGGGCGATCTCTCGGGAGTTACATTCGTAACTTAATCTTATGTTCACGCGGTCATATTCTATCTTTCCAAGAGTACTACCCCGTACTTAGGCTATGTCTGGGAGCATACTTTACAGGAGATAGACAGAGGCGGTAGAAAGGTCCCCGCTTCGATTCCCGCCTCTTTAACATTTCCGACCTGAGATAAAGGATTACGCCGTCAAGTCTTTTCGGTCCGGAGCCGGCCAGTAATGGACCTACTTACCTTGCTTGGCTTGTAGACCGGCTGCGGAGCTAACCCTGTTCTATTGGTTTGGTGGTTGCTAACCAAGACGATTTCTTTATGCCTATCAAAGGCCCTCGAGATGCTAATCCACGACGACAAATTCGAAAGAACTCATATACGGAACGAGGGAGCCCTGTGGAAATACATCGATTTCTTACTCGAAAAGGAATTTATCTTGGAAACTTAGACAAGAACTAACGATCTTTGTCCCGGATATGAATTTACAAAAGTCTTTATAAAGCTTTCGTCTCAATTCATATTTAGCCCTGCGTTTGTGATCTCGTATATTTCGCTTCTCCGACATCTTGCTGAGTTTCTCCCTCATCTTTTTGCAAAAAGCCGCTCCACGGTGGTAAAGTCTCATCTTGTGTGTTGGCCGAAGTGACAATAGTCACATTGAACTCTCGAATATGCTCGAAGATCTCGAAATGATCTTCCAGTTCCGGGGATAATTCGCAAAACTCCGTTTCCATTGAGAATTGAATGGAGTTTTCCCGTATTTCAACCGCAGAATCTAACAGAGACATTACTGTGGAGATTCTGACCAAAAAATTAGACATTCCATGCCCTCGGAGAGTGCTTTGTCGTGCTAGGTCACTGACATATCCTTTTTTGTCTTTATTTAACCCCAAGAATGGATTGGATCGAAACGACTTTCCTGTCGAAGCTCTTTGTGTCTGTATTAATTTCTGACCGCACGAAATCTCCATAGCCAATTTTCCATTTTTGATATAAGGTGCTGCCTTTGGTACTACTCTTATTTTACACGATCCAGGAACTTCCATAACGTTGGCGTGATTCGGTTTGAGCAACGGATCCTGACGTGATACATCTTCGTAATGAAAATAGAGCGGAAACATGAGTTGCCTTTTCTAATATCTCGAGTCGTCGCGCTTTTGAATTCACAATTTTCTTATTGATTTATTATTTTTATTTTAATTCCATTTTCTTATAGCCCTCTATTTAAATATTTAAATTGAAGTGGGTTTCGCTTTTCCTCCATCCTTTGATCTTGGACATCTCACTTGGAATGATCTTCTATCTACGACACTGAACACTAACAGAATCCCGATTCAGTTAAGTACACGAAAATACACCTGCGAACTCGGATACCTTTCAGCATACCTTTAATTTGCCCTAGGCTACTTTCGATCTTCTCTTATTCAAGTGATTGATAGTTACAGGACGGGGACATCTCACTCCTAAAAGAAGGCTTTCTATTATTCTACGATAAAAAAACTAGCTCTTTCCCGCAACTTGTTCCACAAACTCCAACTACTAGAAAGGCTGAAACTGACTCCAATCAGTCAACTACCATCCACGAGCGGATACCATCGAGTTATCGGCCAACAAGGTTCGATGTAGTTGAAAGGGAGCTCGTCCACTAGACATGCTACCTCGATTTTAGCGACCCATGCTTCATAAGTAGGTCCCGTGCCGTGCCGCCTAGCTCCGCATAGATTGATCGGATAGGTATGCCGGTTCACCCCTTCCCCCTCATTAGCCAAGTTGGAAATGGAAGTGGTTGGCTTGCTACGACTAGCCGGAATGAGGAGGGTTTTCATGTCGGGTTCAACACCAAGGCAAGACAGCAAGCTACGAATAATCATCTAAGTGACTCTCCAGTTACGGCCGGGCTTAGGCCAAGAACCAGAAGGTCATGGGCGGGCCGGCTATAGGTTCGAATTCTGTCTTTCATTCAAAGCTAAGATCATAAATCCCCCGAGGGAAGGAGAGAAGCTAGAGCTAGATCTATGCCTAGGATCAGTCTTTAGCCTCTACTCATCTAGGCTGATTAGAGGCTAAAGGCCTAACCGCTGCTATTAAGTCAACTATTCTTGTTCAAGTTGTTTTTGCTTGAGTTGAATCAGCCGAGAGTTCATCAAGAGAGTAGGAAAGGAATAAGAGTCAAAACTGAGGCTAAATAGCGCTCGGCAAAGACTATGACGGAAAAGTTTGGATATTGGGGTTGGGGGATAAGCCCGAATATGATTGACCAAAAGCCAAGGTTTTGGAGATGCTAAGGGATCTGAAAATGCTATGAAATAGGGATAGGGGTAAGCCTGAGGATGAAGCTTTTAAGTTATTCTAGTCTAATAGCATTTATCTATGCCCTTTCCATTGTAAGCTAAAAAGTAGACATGCCGGAAAGAAAGCTAATCGCTACTGGTGACCATTTCCAGCCAGCTGTTCTGGTGGGTTTCAGTATTGTAGTTCAGAATAGACCTTCTTAGATTATGTACCCAGGGGTGCTAATGAGAAATTGGAAGACCTACTACGGACTGCTTTGAATAGTCACTATATAGTTGTCTTGGTTGGGGGATTCATGCCATAGCGTATCGGTTCGTCTTGCCGGCTAGAACGAGATGGTACTTGCTTTCCTAAAGAAATTGCCCTTGCTAATGCCTGCTTCATCGCCTTGACTTGAGCCTAGATCATCTACTTATATTAAAGAAAAGACCACCAGCCCACCTGTTTACCACATTTGCTGATGAAAGAACAGCAAGAAAGGGTTGTCCCTCGGTTTCACTCCCGTAAGCCGAATCGCTTTTTCACTAGTAAATTCCAATGTAGGCTCGATTGCTCAGTTGTATGCCTTTCCCTGTCTACCATTCCAGGCTTCCTTCAGAGCTAATGGCACGTGGTGGGGAGATCAGAAAGGCTTAACTTAAGTTTGTTCTACGCTTTCAAAACTGAGCTTCATGGCGATCCTCGAATTGGGAGGAAGAGAACCAGCACCTCTTCTTAGCTACGTGAGTGCGGAACATGCTCTCTTCTTGATCTCATCAGCATAGGCCAGGCCGTTGAGTCGACGCCAGCCATACCAACCCTGAAAGGAGCGAGATTGATGGATAAAGATAGGTCGTCTAAGAGGTTAAGGTTCTCTAGGAAAGGAATTCAAAGTCAAATGGTTTCGAGTCCAGGAACTCTTACCCAAGCCATGACCGAATCAAACTGAGTTGTTGCCGGGTCGAATCCGAAACTCCAAGGTTGTGCTTGGAGATAGTGTCCTAGAACCACCCATGGTCCTTCCAAAAGAGCTCTGGTGGCATCTTCCTCCGCCCGGAATCTCACAATGTAGTAGTCATTCTGAAGGTCAATGACAGAGTATCCCTTAGCATCAGGCCATAAAGTTCTCAACCTGTTGCACAGAGTCTGGAAACTAATGGGTCTACCCATCAATTTGACAATGACCGCGTTCCTCCATTTCCTCGCCAACAGATCTAGCACCCTCTGGGAAAGCAGCACTGAAGGGGTTCTTCCTTTCCACACTACTACAATGTCATCCTCTGTTATCTCGAAGTCATCCTCGTCGGAAAATCCGCATGCACCCCCGATGTCCCTTCATCAAACTCCTTCGTCCTTAGCTTCTTTGTCTTTCTATCCTTATCCAGCGGCGAGGCATACAAAATAAGTAGAATCTTCCTCATCTTTGAAGTGGGAATGCTCAAATAGAGAGTCAAAATCATAATATGTGAAAGCTTGCCCGATTGAATACAAAGTTGAACTGCATTCCTTAAACCCTCGTAAGGTATTTCTATCTATCACTCGTTACGCCGAATCAATCAACAAGCAACCAAAATGATCTATCTTCAAGGCTGCGAAGGCGCTGATACGATTGAACCCGATACAATGACCTCAAGGATAGTTGTCTTATTCTTTTGTTTTTGGGATAGGGATATTCCACCAACTAACTTCACCTGAGGAATGAATGCAAGACTAGCGGACTTAGCCTATGGTGCTAAACCTGAAAGAACAGATACTCCATCTTCAGCCCTTATCCCGAGTAGAAGAGAAGAAGGGGATTACTTCCCAGCGAAAGAGAAGGTGCACTAACAGCCGGCTTAGACCACTATCCTATTATCAAGGAGATTTCACCTGACTTCGAAGAATGTAAGGCTCGGACTGCTCTTAGGACCCCTGGAAGTAAGACTTCGACGGATTGGGATGGACCACTCACGTACATAGGAATGGAGACCTAAAGGGGCTATGCTAGTACACGATCGAACATCAAGAAAGAGAAAGAAGGAAATGAGCCGGGAAAGGCCGGCCAAGCAATAAAGTAAACGCTTACTGGCTGATTCTCTTCTGAGTCTGAGCGCTAATCTTCTTCTGACCGTACTTCCCGAGGCTTTGGTTCTTTTTTAAAAAGATGCTGCTGAAAACTGCAAAGGCTATGACCTAGAGTATGAGCTGCTCCGAATCTTGCCTCGTTCTTTTGCTTTCTTTGCTATCACCCCTCATCAACCGGCCATAAAAAGGAAGAGTTTGATTTCTTTTTTTTTTGGTACAAAGAAGGAGGCTAAAAGCCTAGTTACAAGCGGGTACAAAACGGGGATGAGCTACCCCCATAATGTCATGCCTAAGCCATTGTCTAACAATAGGTGGCGGTTCATCAAAATAGTTAATTCCCCAATAGGGTGACCAAAGTCCTGCCAAGCAATCCGCAGCGTGGTTTGCTTCTCTATAGATATGTTCCAATCTGACCCTCCATGGCCTGTTGAGCAACTCTCTAATTCCGAGGATTAGACCACCGTGAGCTGTTGTGAGACTTCGGGTTCCTTTGATCATCTGGATCACACACTTGCTGTCCACCTCTGCAATAACATGTGTTTCTCCTCTGTCCCATGCTAACTGCAAGCCGTGATAGAGTCCCCATAGTTCTGCGCCAGTGATAGAGGTGCTTCCAATGTTTACATGAAATCCACCCTTCCATCTCCCTAGGTTGTCCCTCAGTAGTCCTCCAGCTCTTGCACTTCCTGAGGTCCGGTCGAAAGCCCCATCGGTGTTCAATTTGGTCCATCCCTGTTGCGGTGGTTCCCATGCTATTAACCGATGTTCCCACCCAATACCAACATGACCCATTCTCTTAGTGCTAGCCAGTGTTATTTTAACTTCCATGATCTTTCTTGCAATCACCCCCAGCTTTCTTCCACCAGATGGGTTGTTGTTAGAAAAGACAAGCTCGTTTCTCCAATTCCAAACCATCCAACATATTATCCCAAAAGAAATAGCCCAATTGCTCTCCATAGCAGCTGATCTAGAGAGTAGATTTGTCAGCAGCCATTGTTGGACGTCATCCTCAAAGAAGCTTCTCGCTTTGTCCGCCGGGAGGAACTGATTCCATAAAATTAGAGAGAAGGGGCAGTCTCTTAATACATGCATAGTAGATTCCTCTGCTAATTCGCATCTAGGGCATACTGGAGAGGTTGCAATATGACGCCTGTACCTCTCTTGATTTGTCATCAAAGCTCCTTTCGCCGCAAGCCAAAGACACGTCTTCACTCGTTCCGGCCCTTGCCAACTCCATATTGCTTTCCAAAGTGGCGAATTCGGTCCCTGGGGTGTGTTCTCTATCAGATTGTAAGCTGATCTAAACGAGAAATCTCCACCCTCAGATGGCTCCCATCGTCTTCTATCTTCTCCTCTGATTTGATTCGGCGGCATGGTGGCTGCTATTTTCATCAATTCAGTTGCCGGCAACAAGGGTTCAAATAGCGACCAGTTCCATTGGCCATGCTGATTTACAAATTTGTAGGCTTCCCAGTCCAGTTGATGTTCAGGAATTGGACCTATAGCCTTTTCGCATAGTGGACCCTGGCCCATAGTCCAAACATCTTTCCAGAATCTGATAGTTCTTCCATCATTTAGGCTCCATTTCACTCCTTTGAGCAGAGGGCTCCATGACTTTTTGATGGAGTTATAGACTCTCGATGCAGCAGAGGATTTGAAATCACTCGGCCTAGGTGAGTTGGGCAGCTTATACTTCCCTCTAAAGGCTTGAACCCACAAAGCATCCTGGTCCTCTAACAGTCCCCAACCCAGCTTCATCATAAAAGCTTTATTCATCTCCCTGGGCTTTTTCAGCCCAAGGCCACCCATTTCTTTCGGGCAGCATACTTCCTCCCAGCTAACTAAGCTTAGCTTTTGAGAATCATCGTCTTTGTGCGGTGACTCCTTAGTAGCTAATGGAAGCGAAACCTATCTTTACTTGATAAGCACGCTCGCGCTGTAGGACTCGAATTAAATCACTTCAACCGATTACACGTATGTGTTAAGCATATAGCCAATAGTTTTTTAGCTACTGCCCTTTGCTCTTACAAGAAAGTAAGTAATCTAAATGCCCGCCCTTTCTACGCTAGGATCTATCTCATCTCTTTTATATTAAGTTAAGATATGGTAATTCATCAGAGGAGCTCTTTCTTTGCATCTATCCCCTTCCCTTCTGTCCTGCTCCTCTATTAGATCTACCTGCGGTTTGTCTACGTTCTGATCGGAGATGAAAAGAAGGGTCGTCGTCCCCTTCGCCTTATTTTAAAGCTCACCTAAAAATCCCAAAGTCCTACTAGTTCGAGTTCGCCTGGCACTTTGGTAAGGCCCCGATCTAACTAGATGTTGTTCGATTTCCTGGGGGTTGGCTAGAGAACCTTTTCCCTCACTTGCTGTGCAATGAGTCATGGATAAAGGCTGATTTTATAGGCGCTTTAGTTTAAATGCTTTTGTAATATGAGACAACTCACTTGCAGTCCAAGGAAGTTATGCTCGTGGTGTTGTGATTTTCTTATTTATCAAATCCTTTCTGGCGCGTTAGCTGTTTTTCCTACCACTTCTTGTGAAAGGTCACAAGGGCTACCTGTTTATGAAGAGATACAGGGGACTCTGGCCCCAGCCTTATACTTCCCCACCCTTTTGCACCTACCTGACTCTATTTCGGACCTGCCAACCAAGAAAAACTATCTATATTTAGTCACTTAACTTAATAGAATATCCCTCTTCGAGTTCGTATTCAATGTAAATTGTAACTTACTCTAATGCCACCTCAACCCCCGATCGTTGAGCATCTGAGAACATCTCCGGCATTGTCGAGGGAAAGTCAGATAATCGGAAGAATTTGCCTTCACGCCTATCCCATCGATCGGAACTGGCAACAGATCTTTCAGCGAATGTAGCAGCGGATCAATATCAGCTGTGTTCCACTCCTGCTACTGGGTAAACTCCAAACCAACACTCGGGAACGGAAGCCAAACTACTTCTTCTTTTTCCATTGATTGACTTGACTAACGGTTGAAATGGAATCTTTTACCGCTGGATCAGCCGAGAGTTCAAGAGATGAGAATGAGGATCCGGATTCACTTCTTGAAGAGGGAATAGCAGGCGAAAGGCACATCTATGACTTCATACCGAATTTGCCATAGAAGGGCTCGATCCCAGACCTGGGGCGAGAAATGCTTTGATTGAACGAAGCCAAGGGGCGAACGGGAAATGCTTTAGGGAACAACCAAGTACCATCCGACAGTCTTAAAGAGTGAAAGAAGCTGGTATTCATAAGCGGGACGACAGCTCTAGAAGAGGGGCTTGGGTTTAATTCTAGGGAGTTGGGATAAATATCGAGTGAGCCTCTCTTCCTTTTTGGTGTCTCAAAATGGCTAAACAGAAAAGTACTTGAAAGTCAACCTGAAATAGAACGTATAGAAGCCAGATCTATAAAATGAGGCTACAATCCTCCACTTGGCTTTCTCGGGGAATATTGAAAGAAACCCCCGTTTGATTAATGAATCGATAAGACAAGAAAAATTCCTAGGTTTGAAGCAGACGCCGAAACAAATGCCCGTGGTCTTTTCATACTCCTGCTGCTTGTCCATAAATGAGCTGATACCGTGAGATTGCTCCAGAGGTAGTACGACGACCCCATGAACAGACAGAAGAGAGAGAGCACAGATAGAAAGCGAACCAACGACATAATCGTATCATGAATCCTACTTTCAGTCCTTATCATGCTAGTTTAACAAATACTTATCATAGAACGCACATACTAGGCTTAGGATTGAGGTACTCGTTCAAGCGGTTAGTGTCAACCATTATCGAGAGATATATGACCAGGAATATTTCGAGTTTCTGGTATTAGAACGAAAGGGCGTCTTGCAAGACAAGCTCAAAATCTAATGCTTGAAGATTGGTCGCATTCTAGAGTTCTCTCCTTATAATAACATAAGAGAGGCGGCCTCCTGACCACACACTTTCAAAGAAGAGAGGGAATGGGCTAACGGCCTACCTTACCTTGGAAGGCTAACTAACAAAGTCACAAAGAGTTGGAATCGAAAGCGGTGGGTACCCCAGGCATTGATTCCCATAGCGCCGACCGGGGGGGGTTAGGCAACAGTCGCGACCTACTTTAATTCAAAACAAAAGAAAGGCGAAGGTTTTGGCAACAAGCAAACGGCTTTCTATCATAGTTGCAATGGAGCGTCTGCACTAGGATCTTCTTTATTCTTATAGCTTCACTTCGCTCCGCTTCGTTCCTTCCTCCTGCTTACACATCTTCGTTTCCTCTCTCCGCTGGGAACTCTGACTATGGTGTGCTAGCTGGAAATTCTTTCACCACTGATTATGTAATATATCTTCACTACTTGAAGATTACCTGTAATGCAGTATAAAAAAGTGTTGCAGTCGCTTATAAAGAGTTGAATCTTTAACCCGGCATTGCAAGCAAATAGAGAGCCCCCGCCTGTTTGAGTCGCGAAAGGGCCGCTTGCTTAAATTCTATTTTTTAATGAATTATAATAATATAATAGAAAAAATATTCTATATCTATCTATAAACAATAAAAAGAAAGATATTTTTTGTTCATTCCTGGGAAGAGGAAGAAGCAGATAGAGCAAAGGCCTCCTCTTTCCTTCCCGAAGTGAGCGAATTGCATGTAGAGATTCGTAGGGGCTTATAGTTTAATTGGTTGAAACGTACCGCTCATAACGGTGATATTGTAGGTTCGAGCCCTACTAAGCCTACCACCCCCTTCTCTTCACCTGATACAAGGCAGTCGAAGGAGTAGTGGGACCAAGCATCACTACCATAGGGCTTTATTCTTATAGCTTCACTTCGCTCCGCTTCGTTCCTTCCTTCCATCTCGCAGACGAAAACTTCCCAGCCACAATCTGACGGGGGAATCCGCCTAGGGGTCATAACGGAGAAGCAAGCGGAACAGATCTCATTCGCTTAGCTACTTGCCTCAGGTATTCCCACAACAGCGGATGGTCAAACTGAGGTAACGAATAAAACTTTCTTCTCCGATTGGGATACCCTCTGGCTAAGCCTAAGGACAAAAGAGGAAATGTGGATAGATAGCCGGCTAGAGCAACTAGATCTATATCCTCAGAAGGAAAGGTCTTTCATTCCTATTAAAAACTTCTGGTACTAAGAAGAACTTAGTCCCCGTTGATAAGAAGAACCCCTTTCTCCGGGCAGAGATAGCTGTTTCTGACGAAAGGGCTTACTCAGTTAAGACCAATGGTACTAAAACCGTACCTACTTTCTTTACTTACTGCGCCTACTTCCTTTCATTCCTCTCTCTTATGGTCGAGCTCCTTCGGACTTTTCAAATTGACTTCTGAAAGCAAGTTCTAGTGTAATCTACGCCTGTTAGACTGCCGGGCTGTAATGGATTGGACTATGAATACTTCTTTCTAGTGAAAGAAGGATATCGTATCGGGTTGGACCCGCTCTCTTCAGGTCTTTGCAATTCCTGTGGGAACCGCACCACTTTCAGCCTTTGTATCCACATAACGAGAAGCCCTCTTTAGTAAAGCTTCTCTTCATCAGCGACTTTCGCGAATGCCTTCTATCGACAAAGAATCTCCTGAGTTAGCAGCCTGCCCTACTTATCTAGCCGGTCTTTGCTAGGTTTACCCTGGAAAGAAAGGTTGTTGGCAAAAGCCTGGGTTAGGTGTGTATTTGGTTGCCACCAGCTCTTAAGCACACCCATTGGCATTGACTGCATGGGATCGAAAGACTTCCGGTTTCGTGAACGTGTCTATAACTTTCTCATGGCTCAGATTTGGATGAATACACGGGAAGCCCAGAGATCTCATTTGGCATTGTGCGGCTTCCTTAATTGCACTAGCGCACTCAGGTGAGCAACAAGCCGTTGGTTGAACCAATAGGGGATCGAGTGTAGTATACGAAACTAGATGAGAGAATTTGCGATAGGGCTGTGCTAGAACTAAAAGAAGAGCTCAAGGAAGAAAGAAAACCAAATAAATGTTACAGTCAATGCGTAAATAATTGCTTAAGAAAGGAAACCTATTAGTCTCTTCTCGTATTGAAAGTGAAAGGTCGCCAACCAGGGTGAAAAGATAGGCAGCAAGGAAAGCAAAGGGAAAAGAATGGTAAATTCCTTCGATCAATCAGATCTCTATCCGAACTCAAAGTCAATTGAGAAAGTCATTCAAAGAACAAACAAGACAAACACTGAAATTAATATATATGAGCAACCATATAATAGTATTTTATGATCTCTGAATACGATCTGAAACTTGAAGGGGTGCCCGTTTTTGAACCAATACAGGGAACCCCTAGCCCAAGATCCTTCGATTTCTCTGACCTGAAGAAAGCGTAAGCCCTTACCACGCGTCAAGTTGAATAAATGAATGCAGCCTCAACCGTAAGTAACTTAGTGCATGTGCCTTTAAAAAAGAAAATGAAATACGAACAACCGCGCTGGTCGTAATAGATTTTTGAGTTAAGAAGTTTTAACATGAAAACCTCATCTACTCATCTGTGTAGGTTTCGTCCATTTACATATTCGTTTTTGATTCTGCTTACTGTGGTTGGAATTGCTTTTTGGCTGTTATTTTTTCTTGGTGCCATTGATCTTTTTTGGGCCTTGCTCTCAAAGGCGGGATGCTCCTTTGGTAATCGAGCCCTGTCTATTTTTTTATTAAAAATGACAGGCTGCTCCGGCGGTGTGGCATTTGTGCTTTCTTTCGCCTGGAGAGCGTTGAATGGAATGATACTTCCCGATCTAGTATGTTGGATGGATAAGACCCATGGGTGGACATCCATCTTGGGAAGCAGCCTTGGCGGAAATTCCATAGACTCTTCCCAGGGGAGCGTCAATCAACCGGTGCCCGACTCCCCGGAGCCTGTTGCCCCTGCAGCGCCTCTTAATCCTGAGGTTGCTCAGCCCGACGAAGATAGGCTGCAGGAGCTAAACGACCGCCTCCACATCAATTCTATAAACCTTCAATTGACCACGGAGCAGCATGAGTCTATTTTAGAAACCCAGCTAGAAATTGAAAAACAAATAGAAAGAGCTCTGCTTTCCGATGGATATTCCAGGGAATCCTTGATTGCAAAGAGACATCAGATAAGGGGTCTTTTGTTTTACCCAAGAGGGACCCCTTTTTCTGAATCTACCTACTTACAATATCTTAACCAAATCGGAAACAATGGGGTGCACCACAGCATTCCCTATCGCCGTATTATCGAAGCAATCGAGAAGAATGATCTATTTATAGAATAATTACAAGAAAAAAGGATAGATTTTGAGTTAGACTATATACGTTAAGAATAATAGGTACCCCCACCCCAGGCAGAGTTAGTGAGCCGTGTAATAGGCGACCATTTCGCGCGGTTCGGGGGGCACTTGAGTTAGCCGCCGGCGCCCGACAGCGTCTTGACCCCCATCCAACTTTTGGGCCAATTCCCCCTTCGTACTACCAAAAAATGAGATTCTTGCCGAATCCGAGTTTGCTGCTCCAACCATTATAAAACTAATACCGATTCTATTTAGTACTTCAGGTGCTTCTGTTGCGTATAATGTAAATCCCGTAGCGGATCAATTCCAACGAGCCTTTCAAACTAGTCTTTTTTGTAATCGACTCTATACTTTTTTCAATAAACGCTGGTTTTTCGATCAAGTTTTGAATGACTTTCTAGTCAGATCGTTCCTGCGTTTCGGATATGAAGTCTCATTCGAAGCTTTAGACAAAGGTGCTATTGAGATATTGGGCCCTTATGGTATCTCGTACACATTCCGACGATTGGCTGAGCGAATAAGTAAACTTCAAAGTGGATTTGTTGTGCGAAGGGTGCGTTATGACCTGTGGCCGCCTGCCTGGTGGGGGCGGCTCCTCCGTTGTGGGTAAACGGGAAACCCGACTCTACGAACCCAAGGAAAGGCTGCACAGCAGTAGTAGGGGGCGTTAAGACCGGAGCTTTTTGTAGTGCTAGCAGGAATGCAAGTGAATGAATCCCATCCCCTGGCGAGTGAAGTGCTTACGCCCCTTTAGAGATAGGGGCGAGTCAAAGAGCTCGTTCTTCAAATTTAAGATCTGTAGATTCGTAAGATCATAAAGGCCCTTTACTTTCTATTCTATTAGTCAAGCGCTAGCGTCCTACAACTAGAATAGTATAGCAGAGCCGCCAGCTTCATACCTTATTATTAGAGAATAGGGCGCGCTAGCGCTTGACTGATAGAAAGGTTAGGGGGCTGAGAAGCTGTTGCTTTCTGCTTGCTGTCTACTTCGCGAGCCTTCACTGCCCCATTATGTAACTTCCTAGCTTTCGTCCGTCCACGAGGCTATAAAAAGAGAGAAAGGGGCGGCTATCTAGCGGGAGTCGTTTCGGTTGTATGCCGCGGGTCCCTATGAACAAGGGGACAAGTAAATCATCGCTTTTTGGCGCAGGCAGCCCTCTACCATCTATCCCATTGCATTCCATCGTCTTGTATTGTACTGTACCGTATCAGACCAGATAGATCTATTGAGTGAGAGAAAGGAAGTGTAACTAATTCTATATTCTTTTTTTATTGATAGGGATCCCCATTCATTCCTAGATTCCCGTCACTACGGATTGATTGTCCCTACCTAACTACATGGTAAGTGGTCTAGGGAGCGCAATTGCTAGAGCACAGGAGAATGAAGAGTAATGATTTCAGCAAGAGCAGCCAGACGGACTACTATAGTGAGTCTAGTGACTACTAGACTAGATTATAGTCAAAAGGTATGGTATAGCAGCCTTTCCGAGCGAGCCTCTGGGATCTCCTGTAAACCCCCATGATGTGGTAAAGGGAGGATATTAGGGGGAAGCAGTGAGTGGAGATTCCCCTGCAGAGAGCCGGATGAGGGGAGACCTTCACGTCCGGTTCGGAGGGCGGGGATATCCCGACCCTACTATCATTATGCCTTTGCAATGTTACTTGGTTCAACTCTATTTGTGACCTTTTCTCGTATGTGGGACTCTCTTTCTTCTTGGGTAGATAATCGACCGTCTTTCATTTGGATAGTGAGTTGTTTTTATAATAAAAAGTAAGTAATACAAATCGAACTGGAGAAGTGAACTCGCCCTAATCAATAAGCGGGAGAGGAGCGAAAAGGCAGGATGGCTTGGTAAGCAAGCAATCCGTTATGTAGATCCCAGTTCTTTCTCTTCTTTCTTTTACAGTTCTTGTTTAGTGTCAATAAATTGTCCAAGATTGTGCTAGATCGAGCACGCGACGCGCATAGTCTTAAGTCCGGTTGTATTCTCTTCAACATTTTTACTACTCCCCTCGCCCTTTCAGAGATCCCCTTGCTTCAGACAAAGCTCTATCCGGTGGCCATATTCCCCACACTCAAAAGCATATAAAAGCCTTCGTATTCGACCCTCTGGATGTCATCATTAAGACAAAACTGGGAACTCTTTGTTTTTTCAATTCTATCCCCACACGTGCATATAGACCTCTAGATGAATCCACTGTGTATTGATCAGCCCGGACTGCTTTGACCAGTTTCTTCCCAGGTTCATTAAAAAATGAAATCGGGATCTCTGGAAGACGCACCCAGACTAAGGTAGATGAAAATTGGATGGTCTGAAGTTTGGTCTCCACTTCCAAACAGTTATATAATGCCCTCTTTCCACCCAGCGACCATTTCGACACGTCTTTATTCGTTTACCCCCCCGGCAAGACAACGGATGCACTAACCCGACTTTAATCTAAAGCCCTTACTCTAAAGCAATTGAATACAATATGCTATGATAAGTATTATATACAGCAGCTTCAACCCTCACCCTTACAGTCGAGAGCTTCACGCCACTTTACCGACTGAAAGGTACATAGATAGTTGCTCTCCTGATAGCCCAGCGCTAATAGAATAAAAATAAATAACTCTAGCTTTAGATTTGTAAGGCTAGCCAGTCGACTTATATACCAGTAGGTAGAAAGAATCCCCTTTCGAACAAGAGACTAATGGAAGGCGTTTATTTCTTAAATTGGTCTTTTCTATTTTTTATTTGATTCCTTACTAAGAGTAAATAGCTATCTTAGCAAAGAGTTATAGTATAGTTATACTGTAGGCCTATAACTAGAAGAGTATAAACCTAGACTAGAAAAGAGAATAGTTACTATAGAAGATGAATAAGTTTCCTTTGCCTGTCCTAAGGCTTTCTTTTCCGCTCCAAAGCTTCCTAAAAATAGGAACGATAGGAAGACTACGATTCCTAGTACCTAGTAATTCAAAAGGGTCTTAAAAAAGTGTGTTCTGGGCCCGTAACAATCCCAAGTAGTCTGGGCAGTAAGGTGTTTTGTTAATAAAAGATGATCCAGGGTTCTTCTTTGTCTAATCCCGTATCTGCTTCCTAAAGATATCTCCAGCCCTTCCGTTCGATTTTAGATAGGGGATATTTTATTCTGCATTACTCCACCGCAGGAAGACGAGATATAAATTTTTGGATGTATAGACGTGAGCAGAGCGCAGAGGCATAGAGAGGTGTGGTTTGACTGCAAAAGCGGGTTGGGGAAAGGAGATTGAATCAACTCGAGACCTACTAATCTTTAGTTCGATGAGCACTCGACCGCTCCCCTTGAAAGATATTAGACACCGGCATGAACTGCCATCAAGAACTATCTCTCTCCATAGAAGCCACCAGATGAGAAAAAGAATGGGGCAGATCCTTTAAAAGGAAAATTAGAAATTATATAAGACCTTATGCTTTTTTAGAATAAGAATCTTCTCTATTAGTAGAGAAGAGGGGAATTCTTCTTACTACACCAATAGGTCAGTCATTCATCAAGTCTGCTCTTATTATAAGATAGCTCTTTTCTTTTGCATGAATCCGTTCTGACTCTTTTCTCTCCTGCGATAGTAAGGGAAGTCGGCTGGTCACAAGGAAATCGGAGCTGTAGTAGAAGGAGTCAAAGGCTCTGACAAGACGTTTCCTATATATGAGAGATTCCCGTACCTGTGGTCTTGCCTTTGCATCTTTCCCGTACCTCTTTTTTCTTTTCTAGTTGAAGTTGCCATTTTAGGGTGCAAGTGAATCAATAGGTTCTTTTCCGGGAATAGAAGAGCCTAATCTGCCCGCAAGAAGGAGCTGTGGGACTTGATTAGCCCCTACTCCGAGAAGATAGGATGAATATAATATCAGAGTCAAGAAGATGGCAAGGAATAAGAGAGTGGGAGGCTCGCCTGAATGCCGAGTCTTCCTCCGTTTTTTCTTGGGTTAGGAGCAATTCTCATCGAAGAAGGAAAAACAGCCTATACCTATATAATATAAGAGAAAGACCTTATTCTTGCAAAATAGGCATTAGGAGGCAACTTTGACAGCCTTGCTTGACTCCCCCTCCTCCTACAAGGGTTTCTATATCCTCCTGGAGTTCCCCACAAACGGGGGTAAGGCCAAGAATAGCGCTTACGTGAACACCAGAGAAGATCCCAAGAACGCTTATTCCAACTGTAGCATCCATTTCATTGCCTTCGCCTAAGACCGGGCATGAAGTTAGCTTTCTAAGAGCGGATAGGATCCAAGTAACAGTAAGAGAGCATTCTAGACTATTCTCTAGCATCCGAGTCTGGGCATGAATGTGAAGCAGATTCTCAAACAAGAGCAGGGGATTCTTTCGTCCCTTTGTTTGAAACTCCCTATCGCTGGAACACAAGAGCTAACATCTCCCACCGCGACTGCAGGAAAGAAAGAAAAAGGAAGATAAGCACAGGCGGGCACAACACAACCAAGAAAGCACGCCATCAAGTGAGCTAGAGCTGGTACATCAGAAGCAAGAAAATATTCGCAGGCTAATAATCTCCGAGCTCTTCCGTCTGCGAAAGTACTTCTTTCCCATTGACAAGGAAGGGTTTCTCAGGGCCTTAACTTCTATCTCTACTTATAATAGCTTCACTTCGCTCCGCTTCGTTCCTTCCTTCTCCTATGGATTCATTTCCTTCGACACCTTTCCATGGAAACCGGGGAATTTAGTCCATAATGCTTATTCCGCATCAACCTAAGCCCGCTCTCGCTCATTCTTAGCTTTTTTTAACTCTTCCTTTCAACTCACCTTCAGGTCACTATTCTTAGTCTGCTTCACCTTGATATTATTCTCAGCGCATAGCTACTTTGCTTCTAGTTCCACTACCTTATTCTCTGCAGTGGCTAACTGTTTTCGAAGCTCGGCAATCAACTCTCGCTGGGTTTCTTCTAAGGCTGTATAAGTACGCGCCCTCTTGCCGGAACTAGGGATCCTGTCCGACTCCGAGTCTATCTCAC